GTGTGAAGAGTGAGGAAAACCACCTATTTAAAATATTATTTCTTCAAATCTTAACTTTTTAAAAAACGTTTACCTACTGAATAAAAGTAAATGTTGCAACCATGTAATGCGCCGTGAAGTTTAAGTTTATGAGAACGAGAGGCGCCACAGAAAAAGCGTACGGAGAGGAGACAGGAGAAGAAGCGACTAGACTAGGAAAGAAGATGGTTCCTTAGAAGCTTGTCTGCCATTGTTCATTATTCAATTTCTATTTTTATTTTGTATTAGACTGATTGGTCCATCCAATTTATGATTAGTTTGTGTGTCAAAAGGAGCATTCACATCACAGGTTAGTTGATTAAATGTTATTTTGTTTTGAGAGCTTATAGTATACAAGTATTATTCTTTTTTTTATTTAATGTTTTTTTTTTTTTGTTTATTTATAACATTTTCTATAACATGTGTATTGTTCATGTATTTAGCAAAAATCTTTCATGCTGCAAACAACACAGATAAAAAGTAAATTAAAACCTAGAAAAATTATGTGCTGGGATTTTGATTTTTGGATTCACAACCTACATTAGGGCCTTGTTGAATTTACTAACATTTTCCTACCCTGAGGAGCGAATATCCTAGCAAAGAAATTGAAATAATCAATCTAGAGATATTGGCTCAAAAACAACTATAGCTGGTGTAGCTTCCCGTATGGAGCTTCAGTACCTGCTGGGAAACTGGCTAACTAACCAAAAAACTCTTCAGCATTGAATATAGGTAGTTTTGATTGAATGTTGTGTGTAGAATTAAAATGTTAGCACAAAGACAAAGGATGGTACCTAATTTAAACTTTTATTGAATTATTGAATCATTGACTCAAATTATTGAATAATTGACTCACAATTATCATTAAAATGACACACTATGTTTTGATTTTTAAGGAATGTTAGATCGAGGGTTGCTCTGCCGTGCTCTTTCCCCTCGTTAGTTCCAGGTCGAGAACGGTACAATTTACTTTAATAATAAAGTAGATGTTTGACAAAATTTTCGTTTCTTTTACATACCACAGCTTCCCTCATATTTCCCAAATATTTGCTGTCGGGCGCATGTTGAGTAAGTAGAGTTGAGTAAGTTTCCACAACGTAGGTAGAGAAAGGCATTTCTGGTGAATATACAGGGTGTCCACTTAGTGCGATATCGGACGATATCTCCTTACAGGGAGATGCAAGAAAAAAAAAATTACAAAGTTGTTTTATACTCTAATATGCATTAGTTAAAAATATTTTTGAATATACAGGGTGCTTCGTTTATGTTGTATGCGACAAAACTTTGTTATTTCAAATCGAACACCCTGTATGTGATTGCATATTTGGATTCTACGTAAAATTCTGAGCAGATTTCATGTGATATGCCCTATACCTAAGTTCAACTGTTTTGGAAATATTGACAGTTGAAAATTGACTTTTTGCAAATTTGACAGGCTGTCAAACCTAAACGGTTAATTTTAGACGAGAACTGATTGTACATTCCTATCTTAGATTTTCATAAACTATCATTTGACACCAACTTTGAATTTAACCGGAGATTAAATTTAACTGGAATTTTTAATCATGGATTAAATTCAAAGTTGATGTCAAATAATAGTTTATAAAAATCTAAGACAGGAATGTAAGATCGGTTTTCGTCTAAAATTAACCGTTTAGGTTTTATAGCCTGTCAAAGTTACAAAAAGTCAATTTTCAACTGTCAATATTTCCAAAACAGTTGAACTTAGGTATGGGTTATATTATATAAAATCTGCTCAGAATTTTACGTAGAATCCAAATATGCAATCATATACAGTGTCCGCGGAAAAGTCTGCACCATATGGGACATTTTTTTATGCTCATCCTTACTTCAAATCGGTTTTTGGCATTAGGTTCTGCATGACTGAAAACCAAAAAAACACCTAAAATTTTTGACTCGAGACTTGCCTCACACCTGTCAAATGCCATTGGAAAATTTCAAACAAGGAAAAGTGGCATTTTTATAAAAAATATGAAAAAAATTTATAAGAAAATATTGTTCCAAATGATATTTAGAGTCTAATTTGATATTTTTGCTTTGAAAAAAATATATTTCAAAGCATACAATTTTTAAAATAGTCCAGAGGCGTATCAAGATTTCAAAAGAAATATTTCTTTTTGATGTTCAAACTCTTAATTAGATTATTAGGATTTGAAAAACCATAAGTCAGATAAAAACTAATTATTTTAGAGGAATGGTCGCGAAAGAAATCCTAAAAATATTATTTTTCCGTAGATATTCGAAAAAAATTAAAAAAAAATATACCTATATTTTTTTTTCAAAGCAAAAATATCAATAGACTCTAAATGTCATTTGGAACAATATTTTCTTATAAAATTTTTTCATATTTTTATATAAAAATGCCACTTTTCCTTGTTTGAAATTTTCAAATGGTATTTGACAGGTGTGAGGCAAGTCTCGAGTCAAAAATTTTAGGTGTTTTTTTGGTTTTCAGTCATGCAGAACCTAATGCCAAAAACCGATTTGAAGTAAGAATGAGCATAAAAAAATTTCCCATATGGTGCAGACTTTTCCGCGGGCACTGTACAGGGTGTTCTATTTAAAATAACAAAGTTCTATCGCATACCCCATAAACGGAGCACCCTGTATATTCAAAAATATTTTTAACTAATCTTTGCTAATGTATATAAGAGTATCAAATAACTTTGTAATTTAAATTTTTTTTCTTGCATCACCCTGTAAGGAGATTTCGTCCGATATCGCACTAAGTGGACACCCTGTATACTGAAAATGTAGTCTTGCCATATTTTGAAAGTGGAGAAAGCGAAAGTTTTAAAAATAATCATGGTCGAATTTTTCAATGACCAAAGGTATCCTACGTATAAATCGCGACGTAGATATCAGTAAAATTTTGAGCTCATCGGATATTTGAAGCGTCTAGGAGAGGGTTACCGAATCAAAAAAAAATAGGACTAGAGATCAAACTGAACAGTTTTTTGAAATGTGCACTGGATAGGAATATTTAGTGTCTGCCGCAGGAAGGAACATCCTCAGTTGACCCTTGAGAACGTGATAGCTATAGGCACTTCATTAGTAATTGAAATATCAGATACCATAATCAAGGTTTCACGATCTTTCACTGTTGCAGAAAAAATTCAATAGAATTTTTATCTGAAATGAACGACCCTTCGTCAAGCAAATGTCAGACATCAGCGGCTTTTCCCAAAATACGTGAAAGGCAAATGTACCAGAAATCCAGTCAGAGCTGGAACGTGTGGAAAGATTTTTGGCTGCTATAGTAACATTAGTGCAATTTTGGAATCTGATTTTCGCCATTTTTCAGCGAGCTTACTTGTCGAAGCTGGAGCAAATGTGACCACAATCAGGTGGCATGGAAACTCGAAGTCCTCCATACCCATAGTAAGAGATGCCTACATCAAATATTCCTTTGAAACGTAGAATTATATCACTTGAAAACTGCTTACAGTGCAAACATCAGCAGATCTGGCCTCAACGTCAACCATGTGGTTGTTTCTGTTCCTCCTTAACCACGGAGAGTACCGCGCGAGGGTGGTAGAACTGTAGATTAAATTTATTTTCCAAGATGCTGAATTTGTACCACCAATTGCCAGGGCCGATCCTAGCAGGTGTACAGCGCGTGCCCCGCTCGGAGGAAAGTTTTCATCTCTGTCTCGAGATTAATAGTTAATCTCGACGCTTGATATAAATCTCTTGGCAGTAATGAGCCACTTCCTTACTCGGTATGTAATATACTTTTATTTACAATCATACATGTAATGTTGACTTTACTGACTTTTAAAAAGTTCGAAAATGTCACTTTTTTGACTTTTACTTTCGGCCCACGGGTCGAAAGTTTACTTTCGACCCGTGGGCCGAAAGTGAATGAAATTTTTAAAATTTATTGTATTTTTTGACTTTTACTTTCGGCCCACGGGTCGAAAGTAAACTTTCGACCCGTGGGCCGAAAGTAAATGAAATTGTTAATTATTGTATTTTTTAGTTTTAATCCAAATGAAAATTTCAAAATTCGAATGATTGTAAATAAAATAGTATACATACCTCGGTGAAAAGTTTCATTACTGTCTCGAGATTTCAGTTAGACCTCGGCTGCGCCTCGGTCTACCTTAAATCTCTCGACAGTAATGAAACACTTTCCACCTCGGTATGTAATATACTATTACGAAACAATTTAAAAAAAAAACACCTAAGAGGCTAAGTGGAAATATCTCAAAATCGTTGTTTCCATATGTCTAATAGTCTAAATATTTTACGATGAGTTGAATAATTAAATAATAAATAGGTTAGAGTACCTGATACTGCAATGACCTGATACCACAATTATTATAATTGACGTCAAATAAAGTAGGTAGTTCATATCTTGAATATGTATCACGTAAAGCAATCGTGATATAAATAGGTTCACAATTATTAACTAACTGCATCTTTGTTGCTTTGATCCTTAGACATTTACATTTTTTCAGAAGCACACAAAAAAGGAAAATTGACGTGTCGGAGAGAGAAGTCAGGAAAGAGTTAATTTGAGAATAACAGGTCCAGAAGATTGTTTCTTATTTAGCCCATGGCAAATTTGCCAGTGAATATCTTGAGAACTAATTATTCGATTTTCACTAAAAGTACACAGTTGTGACGAGAATCAAAATATCTTCAAAACAAGGAACCACTCGATCCAACTTCCCTATCTAAAAAAGAGGGGCGAAACTCACCCCACCCAGGGGGTGCTTCCAATGAAATACCGATGGGTTCAAAAAGTTTCCCCCTTGAATACAAAAATGCCGTGTGCGAGCATTTTTTCTAAATCGGCCATGAAATACCCTGAAACGTCTCTGTTTCGATGTTCGTGAAACACCTTGTATATGACAATTGTTAAGTACCTTACCTATGTATTATAATCATGTTATCTTTCATAGATTATTGTATTTTCCAGCTCAATTGATTTTTTTTTATCAAAAACTATAAATAAAATAGAGAATTTAATTGATGCGTTTTTATTTACAAAGAAAAATCTAAAATGAATAGTCTTTATATTTTTTTTGCTGTAGTCATAGCTGTAACAAATGTAAGTTGTTTCATATTTAAATAGTTTGTATGATTACTATCTATTTTAGGGCAAAAGCTTGGGTGCCAATAACACCCTCACAGTCCAGGTTTACTACGAAACTTTAGGCCAAGACAGTAAACATTTCATAACCACTCAACTCTATCCAACTTTTGTACAACTTGGCAGAGAAAGAATTGCGTTGGAACTGATTCCTTATGGGCACACTAGTGTAAGCTTTACATTTTATTATAGAATATTAAGACATAAGTAATTTCCAAGTCCAAATCCTTATTTCAATAATCGGTTACAAAATAACCTTGGGTCATAAATCTTGCTCAACCTAACTCTACCTAATTACCATTCGTAACATTGACAAAAAATTAAAGAAAAAAAACACACACTTTGCATTTAAAAAAATTCTTCACCCAATTTCATAAGGAACCACAAAAGAAACCAACATAGGTAATTCATAATATCTTCAGACAAAATGCTTAATAATTAATCAAATTCAAACTCCGACTCAATTTAATTCAATGTTCGTATTCATTGATGTAAAAAGTAGTAGGTATGTAATCTAAAAAACCTTTCAGGACTTTTGTGTATTATTTCCTTGATAATTGATGGGAGAGCATTATATAATACTCATGTGAGTTGGAGTTTCTTTCAATATAATGCTTTTACAATTTAGCGTAGGTACGCACTTGAATTTTTTCCAAACATTGCCACGTCTGCATTGTTTTGGCTTATGTCATCCCAGCGATAAGGGAAATTAACATAGTTATTGTCTAATTCAACTACATATATAGAAAAAATTCTACTTCGAAATAAACTTTTTCATAACCGTATATTTTCTTAGGAAGGAACTGACGGCAATGGAAATAAAACTTTCACCTGCCCACATGGACCTGAAGAATGCTACGGAAACAAGGTTCACGCATGCTTCACCAATTTAGCCTTCACCAAAGAAGGATTACTTCAGTTTGTTTATTGTTCAGAGCTTTCTAATACTCCAGCTAACAATACTGTTCTGCAGACGGTAAGATAACCGTTCATTAAAGATGGAAAAAACTTTTAAAAATATATTTGGTTTCAGTGTGCCCATGGAGTAGGTTTCGATTGGAAACTTGTTGAAGATTGTCTGTCAAGCGGTAAAGCTGATGAACTTTTGTCTGAGAATGGCCGAAAGACAGCTTTAGTGAATGCACCTCATATTCCTACAGTTGTTTTCAATGGAAACTCTTATCCGGAACGAGAAAGTGTTTTGAACAATTTCAAACAAACTGTCTGCGAACTTGTTGACTGTATTTATTGAAATTGTTTATATTATAAAGATAATTGAGTTTTGTTTGTCCTTTTGTTTCAATTAATCAGCAGTACGGGAATTACTTGTGATTCCCGTACAGTTTATCCATTGATTCCTTAGCAACTCTTGAAGGATTATTTAAATACCAGGTTATTGAGTTTTGTGACCTGTTAACCGGTCGAAAATGTTGGTATTTCTTATCAATCGCAGAAAAAAATAGTATATTATTCAACGAGCAGGTAATTATGGCTACTACTCACGAAGAATGAAGTTGGCACTACGAGCCGCAGGCGAGTAGTATAATCATCCGAGTGAGTAATAGCCATTACCCACGAGTAGAATACTATACTTTTTCTATCATTAATAGATAATAGGCAGGAGTTATGCGGTTTTTTATTTAATTTTCATAACAAAATTAATTGACAATTCTGACAGCCGGAGGACAAAGTGAGGTTAGGTTACCACAAGTCTTGTCCAAACCCTGTCAAAATGACCGATTGGAAGCTTGAAGTATGTTGTCAACTTGTCGAATTTTCTGATTGGCTCCTAAATAGTGGAGTAATGAGACCAGGATATTTTCATTGGTTGAAAACAATTAAGTAATGAAAAAAAAACGCACTGTATGAGTAATCATTCACGTTAATTAATAGAAAATGCATCTATATTACGCATATTAATCAATACTCGTAGAAAAAACATATTATCAGACTCTTACCAGGTCTGACAGTGTTGGCTGTTTAACTAGAACAAAAGAAGCAAAAATAAGATCAGATATTTTTTTAAATTGATTGATCGATAACGAGATTTTTGAAGAAATCGTAACATGGACAAACCAAAAAATAAATTCCATGAAAGAAAAGCTATCGGATTCGACTAAAACTTCTAACTAGAGACGTGATTGGGCTTTTTACGCTAGCTTCAATTATCAATTCATCTCATGAAGATATGCTTCAACTATTTTCTAAAGATTGTTTCGGTGGGCATATTCAGAATGACGATGTTCCTGGGAAGGTTCGAAATTCCGCTATCCTCTGGCTGAGGTGTGAAAATAGTATTAATCGCGACGAGCGAAAAAATACTGAGAGAACAGCGGTTATATCTCAAATGTCTGCTAAATATTGCTGTATTCTGGGACCAGCGTGTATATTTCATTGAGGCTGGGTACAGATGTTGTTTTGCTAGATACGTCGAAAGCAATGTGTCCCAGTTCCAAGTATTCTGTGAATCTTGAATATTCTGCTTCAAGATTCTGATCTTGTAGGAATTTCTTTTCTAGTGTCAGTAGTCTCGCGATAGCCTTTAGTTTTGACTGCCCTAAGCAACTGGTTGGGTTTTTAGAGGGAATTCTAACATATTAATGTGGCGTTGTTATTCCTTATTGTTATTTCTTTTCCGTGTTTTGTTCAAGAAGGCCGTCTTCAGTTTTCTGGATGCCAATAAGCATAAAGGCCGCATACCTTTGGCGCTAAGTATGACGTCTTTGGGACCGGGATGCATGAAGTTTGAATCTGCTAACAATTCATTTCTCCAAGATTCTATTCCACTAACTTGGACTTCTTCTGCAAGTGTTGTTTAAGTTAACTTGTCAGTACCATCATGAGTGAATTCGCTAGGAATTCGTGGTTTCAGGTGGATACCTACATCCCATTTGGATATTTTTGGACTTCCTTCTCTACCTTAACTGACCCCTAATTGATCTGCTGCATCATAAATGGTGTAGTCACTTCTACTATGGCAGTTGCTAATAATACATTGTCATTTGTGTGGTTGAATGACGCCCGCTGAGGGTGACTGGAGGCCCTGCTGGTCTTCTTGTTGATCCATTGTTAGGATATGAATTTTGAGGTTTATTTCGTCTCTCCTGTGTATGATGACACCGACTGCACCTGTTACATTTGTTCTTACTTTAACAAGTTTGAGTGACCTCATGCAGTTTCGGCATAAGGGGCTCTCAGGTACGAACTGGTTTTTTTCTGCTAGAGCTAGGAAGCTGGAACCTGGTGCAATGGTTAACGAAATGATGTCGATTTTTACAGCATGAGCAGTAGTTGGTATTGCTTTGATCGATATTCGTTTTTCTTACTGACGGCCTTATAGTCTCTAAAGACTGAAATCTTCTCTCCAAACATTTCATGAACGTATCAAAGTCCTTATTTCATGAGGGATCAGGATACTCTATTCATAGACTTTGTTCGTCTCCGCGTCCCATTTCCTTGAAATGAGACGTATTATCATTGGACCTCATGACTCTGTTTCCACGCCCAAATTTGTGAATGCATGAAAGCATTCCTTGGTTACATCGTGTAACTGTTTATTACTATCTGCTCTTCATACTTGTATAACTGGAAAGTACTGCTTATTTTGTATCTTACTGTCATAAACTCTACTTTGGGTGATTGTGTCACTGTGGGAAGATGATACTTTCTTTGAAGTCGCTGTTTATCAATTAATTTTGTTATTACTTCTATCGAATTTTGGTTTCATAAAAACTTCTTAACGTACCATTTATAGGTTTGCCTAAATCTCTCTTTCCTTTAGTTTCTTCTTAAATAATTTTAGAATAAATCTTTAACATTGCATCGAGTCTCAACAAGTAAATGATGCATTTTATGTGATCAAGTCAATGCCAGTGGATGATAGACTTTAATACAATTTACTCTTGAGCCAGATTTACGTCTAAATAGGTATCTCTTTTTTTACAAATTAACTAATTTTCTTTAACTTTTATTTTGGAACAAATTTCTTAAGTACATGGAAATATCTCCTTTTTCTTAAGTTTGTTCCTTTCAATTATATTTTAGAGATCCCTTTATTGAGAAGCAAATGTTCTTTCCTCTCTTCTCAATTAATTCAATGTGTTTCTTTGATGTTTATTCACTTTCTTGTACGAGAAACTCATTCCAACTTGTAAGCCGCATATGATGCGCGTAGTTGGCAATTCTCTGGAACAACATCTTGTATTTTTTACATAACAATCTGATTGTATGTAGGAATTCAACTTGCCCTAGGAATGAGATGGATAGATTATTTATATGCTATTGTTCTTATTTCTTCTCTTCCGGCCTTTTTAGGCTCGGTGCCCAGGGTATACCAACTGAGAATGGGAAATAAATCGACGCCCATTGCCTCCTAAACCTTGTTTTTTCATCAAGTAGAAAGACATTGTTGAAATTAACAGTTTATGATGTTTTTACTTTTCCCACAAGTTTTACTTGTTTCACTCCTTGAAATCTGAAAAAAGTAAAGCAGAAGAAAGTTTATCAACCAACCAAGGACGGTTTTTCATATATGTTGGACATGGATTGACAATTTTATGTATTGCATACTTGAATTACATTGTTAACGCAGTCAACTCCAATGCTTGAGTGGCGTGAGGTAAATTCGCAATCTCATAATTCATTCACATATTAAAGAAACAAACATCTCAAGTTTATTATCATGTATTAGGTAGCAAAACCTTATCCTAAGTGAAAATATATCAAATATATTGTTCGATTATGTCTAATTTTTAATAATGAGTTGAATGATAAATAAGTTGAAGTGCTAACAATCAATAAGTAGGTAATTCAAATCTAAAATATCACGTAGGGCAATGCTGATTTTAATAGCAATTTTCAAGTACCTAGCTACAACTTTGCTGCTTATAATAAATGGAAGTGAACAACTACAATTTTTATTACAGATATTCCGAATTTTAGCTAGGATATGACCCCAGCACTACACCTTCTATAGTTTTTAAGATATATTCACAAAAGCTGAGGTTACAAATTGTATAACAGCTTATGTTTATGCGACCATTGTTAAGTCTGCCCAATCTATATCATCCGAGATGGTTTAACCAAAAAAAAATAATTTCATGGGTTTTCACGTTGATCAAAGTCGCATAAATTTAGACATGAATATCTGCTGTCAAGGTAAAGAACTTGCCAGACAGAAAATTGTAACATTTGTTGGAATAAATATTGATGATACTCTTACCTGGGAAGAATAATGTAGGATTTTGTCCATATGGTATTTAGTTCTGGTGCGTCTCAGTCCCTTTTTGTGCAGTGAAGGTGTTGAAGTCACAAAAAAGAATATTTAGATGTACCTACATACAGGGTGACAATTTGAAAAGTAGCAATCGGGAGTATCTCTTAGACAAAAAATACTATCAGGAAGATCTCAAATACCTATCGGGGGAATGAAGGAGGAACCAAAATGAGGCACTTTTTGAGTCACCCCGCCTCACCCCTTAGGGGAAGCTACCACAACTTATTTTTTTTAAATACGAACCTATCTTGTGTTGCACATCATTGGATAGTTCGTTGTTATCCCTTCACAGCCCTATAGAAAAATATTAAATCGTACGATTAGTTTTCGAGATATCGGATACCTATTGTTATATGACTGTGAAGGGATAGCAACGAGCTATCGAACGATATGGAACACAAGGTTAAGTTTGTATTTAAAAAAAACAATAAGTTAGGGTAGGTAGCTACCCCCTAAAGAGTGAGGTGGGGTGACTCAAAAAGTGCCTCATTTTGCTTCCCCCTCCAATCCCCCGATACGTATTTGAGATCTTCCTGATAGTATTTTTTGTTTGAGAGACATTGCTACTTTTCAAATATTCATCTTGTATAGTTCGAGAGCTGACAGTAAAAACCACGACCTCATAGTTACTAAAGGTTTGAATTGTCAGACATGTTTGACATGTCGGTACTACCTCACTTGGTGATTCCAAAACCGTCCGTCTGGCGGGCATAAGTGGTCGCTTTATTAGCCAAAAACGCAAAAAATCTGAATTTCTCAGCACTTTTTTCAGTTTTTCGCTTATATCTCAAAAACTATACGTTTTTTGAAGACGAGCGTTCCTTACAAATTTATAGTATAGTTATTTTCCTAACAAGTGCGCAAAGTGTTACTTTTCCGCACGCAAACACAGTTATACGAACGACGCGAAGCGGAGTTCGGATACGTGTTTGCGTGCGGAAAAGACACTTTGCGCACGTGTTAGGAACAAAATTTTTCCTACGAGCTTCATATCAGGTAGGTAACAACAAAAATTTAAAAAAAAAACGATAATTTGTTTAATTATTTTTAATTAACTTGAAGGGAACCTATGCATTTATCAAAAAATTACATAACAAAAAAAAAATATAACAGAAAATCATCGTCAGAGCTCTTCATCTTAAAGCGTTTAATGGCGATTTCCATTTGTCATCAGTGCCGCACTGAGTGCATCCGCATCTTTTTCTAAAAGCATGTAACATGTAAGGATAAGGATACATTTTTTTGCCCTGTTTCGACAAATGGAAAATGCTATAAATTTGATGAGATAGTTTGTAGATGCATATATATAGAAAACAAATCTGACAATGTGTTGAAGTTAATTAAATTTGGTGTTTGTAGGTATAGATGTTAGCTGGAACAGGAACAGAGGAAAAATTTGTCATCATGTGTCAAAGTCGACAGGTGTACTTATTGTTGCTTGACAATTATTTTTACTTTTCGGCACTCAGTGCGGATAAGGCCTGTATCCGCACTGAGTGCGGAAAAGTGCAACTTTGAGAACCGAAATGCGTGCGGAAAAGTACTACTTTGCGCACGCTCGTAGGAAAAATAAAATTTCCCACAAAATTCATTTGTCATATTTGATTTAATGATAAGCGGTCTTTGCGCTAGAGCTCAGTGAAAAACAATGTTTTTTTTTTGTATTTTTACAAATTCGTCTAAAACACCCACTTTCATCCCCTGAAACCCAAGAAATATAATAATATGTTAATCTATTAGCATAACAGGGGTCTACCCTATATCACGTGTGAGTACATTATATATCATAAAAAAGATGTCTGCCATATTTAATTTTCTCATAAAGATTTTAAAACTTCAGCCTCGGCCATTATTTGCTTTTAATCGGCCTTGTAACGTTTATAACTAATTCAATTGAAGAATGTTTTTATAAGACAAATAAGTATACCATTTGAAAGGTAGTTCACGTCCACACACTTGTAAAGAAACGAAATTGCAGCTTTTTTGGACTTTTTTTATTCACGTATTAATCAATTGCCAACGTTTCGACACGGATGCAAAAAACAAGCACCACAATTACTAATCTAGCCCTGAGGATGACACGCATCCGTGTCGAAACGTTGGCAGTTGATTAATACGTGAATAAAAAAAGTCCAAAAAAGCTGCAATTTCGTTTCTTTATACGTATACCATGATAGAATAAGTATTGTTTGGTCTCTATTCCATTTTTTGAAGCTGTGTTTGTAATTTGACGATGTCCACATCCTTGTACATACAATATATCAATGGAAAAATGAAGCTATAGTTATTGAGATAATATGTTCACAAGAACATTTTTGTGTTACGTATTCACTTATACGGTAATATGACATGACAATATTTTCAAGTGCCTATGTCTTGTGATAATCATGTTATCTTTCAGAGATTAACCATTTTTTAATTTCAATTGATTATACATATATCTTAAAAAATATAAATAAAATGAATAAATGACTTGATATATTTTTATTTACAAAGAAAAATCCAAGATGAATAGTCTTTATATTGTGCTGGCTGTAGTCATAGCTGTCACAAATGTAAGTTTTTCTTATATAAATAAATTGTATATTAACTGTATATTTTAGGTCAAAACCTTGGGAGCCTTGAAAGTCCAGGTTTTTTATGAAACGTTATGCCCAGACAGTCAACATTTCATAACCACTCAACTCAATCCAACTTTCGCACAACTTGGCAGCGAAAGAATCGATCTAGAATTGATTCCTTATGGACACGCTAGTGTAAGTTTTACGTTTATTATTGAATAAATAATTAGGATAGCTATGGGCAATTCCAAATCAAATCAAATCAGATCTAAATCTTTATCGATTTAAGCTGGCCACAAAGTTCGTCGGCTTTGTTTAGCCTGACTCTAACCACTCAAATAGGTACTGAACTCCACATTCATACATTGAAAAAGAATTTAAAACAAAAAAGCCACTTGGGACAGCTTACAAATTGTACTTATTAGTGTCTGTTTTTGAAATACTTACAAAAAAACGTGACATTACCTGAAGCTCCCAAAATAAAGCGAAAAACCTTAGGGTAAAACGCATATTGGAATGACAGTACCTCTATGGAATCATTTGGTTGATCAATGACCAGTAGGTATATAACTACATATGCAAATGCAGATAGAGCATCGCTTGCGGAGCTTTTATGTTGTTATCGGATCATTTCTCGTTGCGATTATAGGAAAAAGTTGCTGTGGAAATGATGTTATGCATAGTTATTGTGTAATGCCACTGAGCATAGAATAAACCACTGCGAACATAAAAATATCCCCACGTCAAAATATACGTTTTGATTATCAAAAATCATATTTTTTCAGGAAGAAACTGACGCAAATGGAACGAAAACTTTCACCTGTCAACACGGTCCAGATGAATGCTACGGAAACAAGGTTCACGCATGCGTCAACAATTTATCTCGTGCCATAGAAGAATCGCTTCACTTTGCTTATTGTTCTGAGCTTTCTCATACTCCAGCTAATGTTACTGTTTTGCAAGTGGTAAGATAACCATTTATTAGAGGCATAAAGAACTTGTTATAACTTGTTTGGTTTCAGTGTGCCCAAGGAGCAGGTATTTCTTGGAGCAAAGTAGAAGATTGCCTGTCAAGCGGTTTAGCTGATGAACTTCTGTCTGCGAATGGTCGGAAGACAGCTCTAGTAGATGCAGGGAATATTCCTACAATTGTTTTCAATAAAATCTACTACCCGAACCGGGAGAGTGCTTGGTTCAATTTCAAAGAAACTGTTTGTCAATTTGTTGATTGTATTTATTAAAATCGTTAATTGGTATTTTTCTTTTAACTCACAAATAACAAATATATAAGATTGTTTCATTTCAAAACTATTATCAATATTGATTTTCCTTCATTCAATAACAGAGTTCGATTCGGCTGCTTTTTTTCCTAGCCGATCAAACCTTTTGTTCACACATACCACGTGTTATGTTCATGTCCAGGAGTTCTCAGCCTGGTTAAATCTGATTTATATTAGCAAAATTTGAAAAACACATTGTAATTTTTTTTCCTGACATATAAGTCTGTAATTGAATGGCGCAAAGCTATATCTCTTTTCGTTTTGGAGATACAGAGTGAAACTGGAAATTTCCAATTTTTGAGGATAGTAATTGTCTCGCGCATGAAAAAAGATATCTAAAACTATCAAAATCTAGTGATTCAGATTCCAGTGGAGTTGTCAAGTCATTTACTGACAAACTTATACAAAACAGTTATTTATAATCATGAACCTAGTCAAATCAAGTATTACAAACATTATTTTGATTAAATCCTTTCAATAATTCTAATTGATTGAATTTTTAATCAAAAATTCAGCAGTTCAGACAACCATGTTACTTACTTCAAGTAGAAAACATTTTAATTAAAACTTTTCACTACTTTTAATGATTAAAACTTTTACTAAGGATCATATACTTTGTTGCGGAAATAACCCACAACAGGTTTAATTTTTATTATTTCTAATTTAGTATAATTTCTTTTCTATTATTTACCATAAAAATTATATTCTAAAAATAGATGCTATTGCTGGACTTTTTATCCTGTAAAACCGGCAACAACAACCCTTTGAAGCAATAAAATTGCAGGTTTCTTCATTATCTTTTAAGGTAGTGGACCTTTCTCGCCGCGGTGATTGGTCAGCCGCCACATTGTTTCCTAGTTTTTGCGACCTGCTCCCCTGGCGTAGCTAGTCGACACATATTCTTCAGTACTATTAGAATAAGCGATGAGTTCGCGCCCTCTGATGCTCCCCAGAAGCAAAGCCCCCGTTAGTACGCGAGATTTATGGTAATATACTACTCTCTGTGTCTCAAGGCCTGACATGGTCTATATTATTGATTACAATTCATGTAATTAACCCCTAATTACTGCAAGTCATCTCGGACGAGCAAAATTCTCTCGTAAGCGCCTGTTTTTGGCTCTCTCTCTCTCACTCTCGCTGTGCTCCAACGCACCTGCATGTATCGTTGTGTTTTCATCTCAGTGGAAAATTCCCTGGCTGCCAGTGTAAATAGTGATAAATGGATAAATAATCGCCTTGTGGATTTATCTGCCTGAACCGGATTAAGCAAGTAAGACCGTTAGAATTTCACTAACAGTCGAACAATAAATACAGATTAGTGATTTGCTTGAAATGCACTATAATTTGAAATATCTTCTAACGTTTGCAGAAATTTGGTTTCACACTCGTGAAATTAACATTTGTACATTTGTGTATAGAAACTGAGCATATATAAATACTTTTCTTGCACATATTGTTTACAGACTTCCGCAGGAAAGTGCTCAAATAACTCTCAATAAATAAAAGAACTTTCAAGGATCAATAAGCATTTTGTGATTACAGTGAACTGAATAAAATTGACGAATTATTTATGTTGTGCTCTCGTGCATTTAATTAGTTGATTTGTGTTTTCGTTCACATAACATTCAACCATTAATGATATTATTATCATTATCAGATTTTCTACCTTTTATAAATCAAGATACTTACTTACTTTAGATTAGCATAAAATTTGTAGTTCGACTGGACGTCCAATTAGGAATTTTTAGATAGGATTTGACTGATCTATACCAAATTACTTTCATTTATTAATTAAATTGATAATTATTCTATTTCAGCGTTTTATTTGTATAAATGAGAATCAAGGCACCCCTAACCCAATACAAGACATAAATGATCCAATATCTAGTGGTTAATTTTTACAGTCAGTCAAAGTAAAAAACTTTTGGCATCTCTGGTGCGGTTTGACTAAAGCCCAAAAAGGGGCAATAGCTAGTTCCGTCACATACTTAACCAGGACAATATTATTTTTCAAATTTCAGGTCAACATTACACGATTTATTTAAGTTCTCTTAATTAGCTACTAAAGTAGTTAATAGTCAAATTCAATTCAAAATCTTCAATAAATTCTTTCTACTAATCGGCAATCGTTAAGTAAGTGCATTATAATTTCCTGTTTAAACTCTTAGAATAAAATATTCAAAAGTCATTTTACTCAAAATCAATTAATTTTTTGCAATAATGTTCCATAGTCATTTCACATTCATAATCATTGCAATTAATTTCAAATAACAGTCTTCTTATCTTATATATACTTACTATAATAATTGTAATTAACTTAGTTTGGTCCCGACGCAGAAATAGAGGAAATAACTTTTTGGAGGAGACTCAAATCACTGCCAATTTCGACTGTTCTCTACTATCTTACTATGAATCAACTACTGATTCTACTACTAAATGTAAGTTTAATTTTTAATTGCCTCTTCCTCTCATTGTAATCTGTTTAAATAGTATTCAATCCCACCATAAATCTCCGCGTGAGTTTAAGTTCATCGCCTCTATTTCTGGGAATCGTTATCTCCGCAATGACTCCTGCACCTGTAAGAATTTCGTTTTCGTTTCCGCTATTCAAAAACGCCGACAGCGCGTGTACACAATTAAACAAGTTGGCCTTATAATTAATGTCGTTCGGTGTTTAGATATACGAGTTTATATAAAGGGGTCAGGAATCTAGTGACTCTTCATGTTGCGTAATTATTTCATTCGGACCGCCTTCGGTAAAGATAACTGATGACTATAGAGGGGGGTCCGTATAATAATTGTTAGAATAGATTTTGACCTTTATCGCTGGCTTAAGTAGCGAAACAGGTAACTACTAATTATTATTTTAACTTGAACTTGAAGAATTCCAATTGAGACTATTGAGAGTATTTTATTTACTTTATTACTTTCCAATTATAACTTTGATTATTGGGATTGAATTTAAGATAAAGTTATTTGATTGGAATTTAAATTTTTCTGTCAACACTCGTGGACTTTGAGAGTTGAAATGAGAGTAAACCTTTTGATGTTTGAATGTTTTTAAATAAATAATCATGGAAGCCAAAACGTGAATTAATAGAGGTGTTCAGAACCTTAAAAACTGTTTATTACTTCGAAGAACTAATCTTAAAAGTGCAATGGCACTAATTTATATAAATCAACAACTTTTCTGTGTTAAACCTAAAATTTCATTAACTGCTTCAGCAACTTCCGGATTTCTCAACACACTAGAATGATTTCCTTCATACACTTTTACGTCCACAGGGGATTCGCATAGATTGGACAACCCCAAATCTTGATCAGGAATTTCATCTCCTACTAACACTGATGCTTTAAAATAAATAATTTTTGACTGAAGCTTGAAAGAAGGCTTCCAATTGACCATAGCCTTTAACCTCTTAAACGTATTTAATATACAAATGTTTTGATGATCCGCTGAATGAACTTCTACATCTAATGGGGTAATAGATTGAAACACCCTAATTCTTTCCTCAAATGAGTTGCATTTGTACAAGGCTTCCTAAAAAAAATTGAATTGCAACTTCAAGAAGGAATGTATATATGTATGACATACCAATTGTTTGCTATCGACTTCATGCGAACTCGCTCCTACTGCTAAATTGTGAACCAAAAACTTGACTTGAAATTCTTCTGATTCTATATCAAGAGTCCGCAACACAGCTTTTAAATAATTTGGGGCACCATCGATACAAATTAGGGTGCCACAGTATCCTTTTTGTTCAAGTAAATTTGCAATGCTTAAACCTACAAAGCATCCAAATGAATGACAAACTAAATTGAATGGTTGGTTTTTCGATATCCTCTCTTCTATAGCCTGTAAGAGTTATAATATTAAACTCACTATTATTAGTATTTTTCTAATACTTACAGGTAGAACTGCTAATGCCGTTTCTTCGACAGTTTCTGTCTGATCGATATATGGGTACTGTATACCAACTAAGTTTGCCATTGTATTTTGATATAAAGGTTCCAAAGATTTTATGGATGACTCTACACCAGGAAGAAATACTACAGTGGAATTGAAATTGTCAGCTATCTGTGGAATTTCCACGATATTGCTTTTACACATTTCTTCACTCGGCATATATTGGAAGAATAAACCCATTCCGTCAACTCGATTTTCTTTTTTACCTGCAGAATATTTATTTAAATTAGTTCAATATTATATAGTAGAGAACGGTAGAAACTAGAGAAGAAATCCTACCAGTCTCTGTGCCCATTTCGGATTCTTTTTTAGCTTGAATTTCCAGTAGTTTGGCAAATGTCAGCTGCTTAAGATCCTGAGCTGACAAGACTACGTCATGTTCACGATCTAGGGTCTGCTTAATTTCGACTGCAGTCATTGAATCCATACCGATTTCTGTCAGTGACGCTTGTAAAGGTATTGATTTAAGGTCTTTTATACCTACAAGCAAATAGATATTGAGAAATTGTATGAAATCTAAAAAACGGTGTTTAAGGTACCCAAAATGGCTGCAACGGTATCTACTATACTATCTGAACCCCCATAACTTGATCTTTTCTCTGCTACTACCATACTAGATACTATAACAGCTTCATTTTGCTTCAAAAGTATATCCATTACTTCTAAACAATTTGATATTCTTTGCTGAAGAGTACCACCAATTTCCATTTCAACTGATTCTTCTTGCATATCTGCAACTAAACCAACCTAAAATTTAGACAGATTCAATTTAAATTCGATTTGGTGATCGGTTATCTCATACATCTCCGACAGCTCCCCATTGAATAGCCAGGGCGGGTAAACCGTCGTTTTTTCTTTTTTCGCAAATTTTCTCCATAACAGCATTTGCCATTCCATAATTGGTTTGACCTGCATTTCCTCTTCCACATGATACTGAAGAGAATATGACAAAGTCTCTAAAAAATAATTGTCAAAGTTACTTGAAAAACAAATTATCAGTTTTAGTAAGAAAAATTGAATTAACGTAAGGGTATGTTTCGACTGGAATTACGACCGATCTGTTTATCCGACGTTATTGTAAAAATTATTTGTCACATAAATCACTGAAAACTATTGTGCTCTTCATCCAGAATTTTCAAAAATTCAATAGAAAGTCTTTTAAAAAAATTAAATGCTTGAAGTTCCTTCCATTATGGTGTCTTTAATTTCTCCTTTTGGAGCTCTTTTTCTTCTCGAATTGACACGACTCATCTTTGGTTTGGATATCTTGTAGGCTGCGTCAATTTCTAGGGCTTTGATTAGAACTTCGCTGCTACTTGATAGTTTGGTTATGAACATCAGCATTTTCTTTACGTCTATATCTCGAATTCCATTTAGTTTTCGGTCGCTAATAAGTCTCGCATTTCTGCTGCTGTTTCCAGGTAGGCCTAATTAACCAGACGGTGGATATTACTTTCAAATTCATGTAAGCTTTCCGCAGTTTTCTATTGTATTGTTCTTAGCTGTACCTTGTTAAGCTGACTTCGGTGTCCATAACGGCGCTCTAACACATCGATAAGTGCATCATTGTAATGTCGGGAAGCAAGCGGAAGACTCTCTAATAGGTCCAAGTCAGGACCGCGTAGGCAAGCCTGTAGTCATACAATGATCTCGAACTGACGTCCTTATATTGCGTACAACCTCTTTCCGTCGTATGGTGGTGACTTAACCTTAATACCGGTTGCACGTGAAGATGAGACATTTCCTGACCTTATAAGTCACATTGCAACGTTTAAAGCTCCCTTTCACATTTATTCATTTCCTGGCAGATGTTTCCAACTTCCTGAGATGATGGTTTTTCGATGTCAAATCCGGCAATAAAATCACTATTTTAGCAGTTCAATAAAAGTTCACTGTTCACTAATTAGTTCAAGTTAATAGGTACCTACACCAATTGTCTTGCATCCCATTAATTGACCTAAATTACTCCAGTTGTCTAGTCGTTTTGCCAATTATTTCACTATTCAGCTAAAATCTAAAATTAATGCACCATCAATTCAATTTTAAAAATTGATTGTTTTGCATGGTTTGACATTTTCTACCAGAAAAAAAGCAGAAGTCCTCTTATAGGCCAAGCAATGAAGGAAGTTTACCTCAACATAATAAGAAGTTAACATTTTTTAGGGGGGATCGGTCCATTTTCATGTGCTAATAACATATTAAGTTTGCGACTTTGTACTTCCATAGTGTTTTTAGTTAGGGGTGGTTTTTAGGGGTAATTTGCGGTTTATGGAGAACGCTGCTCAAAGTGATGGTCCAATAGCAAAAAGTTTCAAATGATTGTTGTAGCTGAAGTTTTTTGCTATAAAAAAACTCAGCGACAGCATCCCTCTATCTTCTATAGTTTTTTTTCTGCAGCGTCTTGAATAGTTGCATGTTTTTATTCGAGATCACTGAATCAACGTTTTGCCTGCTCCCGCGCATTTGATGCAACAGCGGCCGAATGCATAACCCGATTTCAATTTTTCAAACACCACATTATTGCTAAAGAAATGCACTCTCCAATGCTTTTTTGTTCGAATTTTTTTGCTTGAAAATTGAGCGAGCACGGACTCTCCTAATGTGCGCGGAAGTTGTAAATTGCATCAAAAACTATTGCAGCAGTCATGTGAAGCAATTAAAATTGCAGTATATTCATAGAACAATAAATAAAGCCATCGTACCAAATTTCAGCGCTGTGTGACAATTTTAATTTTTTTTGACTTTTTGAAAAATTCTGCGCGACGTGTTCAGGCCAATTATTACCCTTTCAGCAAAAAGAGCTGAACAGCTCCTAAACATGAGCAGACCAGACATCAGATTGGTGGTGGGACTGCTCACAGGACACTGCCCAGTAAAATACCATTTAAGGTTAATGGGCAGAGCGGAAGACGATCTCTGCAGATTCTGCTCAGACGCAATAGAAACCGCAGAGCACCTGCTCTGCGAATTTCCAGCCCAATTCTGCAAGAGGCTCAAATTCCTCGAGGGGGCAACACTGTCACCGGAAGAAGTGTGCCAACTAACACCCAGGAAAATAGCTTCCTTCGGCAGAAGTCTACGCTTCCTGGAGACAAATTAAGATGCAGAGTCACGCACAAAATATCTGCAAAGGTAGCAGTGCTGAGCGGCTGAAAAGCCGAAACGACTCCCCCGAAATCTACAATCTACAATCAGGCCAATAAGTTATTGAGTAATTAACGAAAAAAAAAAATCCGCTGGGGCATTATGAGAGGAATAAATGGGCTGCCGATTGTTGAAAACTGTCACCCAATATTTGGCCCGTTTAGAAATTACAGTGAATGAAAAAAAGAGGTTGTTTTCGATGTAATTTACAACTTCCTCACACATTAGGCAAGTCCATGCCATGCTCGCTTAATTTTCAAGCAAAAAATTCGAAAAAAAGCATTGGAGAGTGCATTTCATTAGCAATAATGTGGTGTTTGAAAAATTGAAATCGGATTATGCATTCAACCGCTGTTGCATCAAATGCACGGGAACAGGCAAAACGTTGATTCAGTGACCTTGAATAAAAACATGCTACTATTCAAGACGCTGCAGAAAAAAAAACTATAGAAGATAGAGGTGTGCTGTCGCTGAGTTTTTTATAGCAAAAAACTTCAACTACAACAATCATTTGAAACTTTTTGCTATTGGACCATCCCTTTGAGCAGCGTTCTCCATAAACCGCAAATTACCCCTAAAAACCACCCCTAACTAAAAACCCTATGGAAGTACAAGGTCGCAAACTTAATATGTTATTAAGCACATGAAAATGGACCGATCCCCCTCAAAAAATGTCAACTTCTAATTATGTTGAGGTAAACCCTCTTTTCAGATCCCCGTTTCTTGGACTATTAAGTGATATGATATAAACTAGGAAAGTACTATAATTTTCACCAGAAATCGAACCTAATTTGAACCTACCTCAATTCTGGACATAGGTCCCTGGTTGTAGTATCTAGATATTGAGTTGCATCCGCCTTTGGACCAAAAGAAATCTTAAATGATTCTGCTGACTGGTTTTCAAATATGGCATCTTTAAGAATCACTGCTAAGTTGAATATTGCATGAATAGGTCCTAATTCACTAGATGTCTTTATTAAATTTATACATCCTTTATGAGTAGTAATATCGTCCGTAGATATTTTTATGGTGCATCCATAGGATTTCCAAATACTACCAGAAAATTAACAATAATAACAAGACTTTAAATATTAAATGTAATCTTACGATAATCTATATGCTTGGTATCCAGTCTTTACTCCAGTTCTTGAAGTTAAAACTAAGTTTCTGCAACCTCTCAAAATTAACCAGTCAGCAAGCTCTAAACCGAAACCGCCTAGACCACCACATATAATATAAGTTTTTGCTGGGTCGCAATAATATCTAAAATGAGTAATATTTTGTTTTAAAATTATTATGTATAGGAAGATAACAGTTATCGTTATAACCTTGGTATGCATGGAAATTTCTTTCCCAAAGAGCTTTCCGTTTCTTCCCTGATCTGAATAAAAACTTTCCCAATATGTTTTCCAGTGGTCATAAATCTAAAAGCAGCTTCCTCTTCATTGATTTTGAACATATTTTCTGGTAGAGGAACTACCGCTCCAAGATCCAAATAATCCTGTAATAATTTGTGGATAAACATGTTTTGGTCTCGACCTCGATTGATGGCATATTTATCTAACATAACACCTAAAAAAACACCAGATAAGACAAAAAATTATTTGAAAAAAATCAATATCAGTAATCAGATAAAACAAAATAAATCCATGGTGTTTTACCATGAAAACTGGCTTCTTTTTCTAAAATCATTAGTTGTAAAGTGTTATTATTGGCCATATCGAATTTTCCAATCTCAACAAATCGTCCTCCTTTGGCCAAACAGCGAACTGATGCCATTAATTTTTCTTCTGCGAGCGAGTTTAAAACTATGTCCACTCCTCTACCTTCTGTAGCTTTCATTATGTGATTTTCAAATTCGACTGATCTTGAATTTGAAATGTGATGATCTAAAAACACGCCATTATTGGAAGCTCCGCTTTCATATCAATCCGGCAGTTACCTTTCAATTTCGGGAATCGTTTCAGGAGAAACTGCCTTTTTTCTAAAGTTCCGACCGTGGTATAGACAGTGCATCCCACGTGAAAAGCTATTTGTATAGCAGCCAGTCCAACTCCGCCTGCGCCTGAATGAATAAGCACTGAACATCCAGGTTGCATTTTTCCGTACTTAAATTTTTAAAATGTTTTCAAAATATATAAGAAAAAGTTGAATAGCATATATTGTAGAATCTGTACCTCCATTAAAGCCAATAAACTTGTGGCATAAACTACAGGAACTGTAACTGCCTGTTGTAGAGTCCATGATTCTGGCACTGTCCAACAAATACAAGTTTCTCCATCTACTAAAGATGCGCATGCTCCATGTTTCCCTATACCCATAACCCTCACACCACTGAAAAAAAAAATTATGTAGGAATAGAATATAGGCAATTCATTTATTTTAGACGATAATTGAGTCGTTGGAAAATTATTTAACTCGTTTACCTGTCAGTTAATCCAGAAAATTCAAAGCCTTGAACACACTCTTGTTCTTTTCTATCCTTAATTATACTATCGGCGTTTATTTTTCCCATAGCTGTCATAACATCTCTGAAGTTTATAGCTGAGTAATAAATCTATAAAAATTATAATAAAAACTAGATACCGAGAACTAGACTGAAGTATTATTACATTAACTAAAGTTGACTCGACATCCATTTTCTTATTGATAGACAGGGGTCCTTCCACCCATGTTAAAGAAGACAAATCTCCTCTGCGTAAAGAGTTTAGATAGCAGTGGTCAGCTTCAACTTTATTAGTATCTCCCAATAGCAAGTGTCTATAAGTGCCCCACTGGCGATTTTTGTATATGTTTATTGCCAAATTCTTACTCAATTGATCTCGGTAGAAAGGTAAGTTTACATCAAATTCTTCTGTAGGATCGAGTAGAGAAACTAATCGAATATTTTGACCTCCTGAAAAAAATAGTTTTTAGAGTTAATTGGATCTTAAATATCAACTTAAATAGCAACAGCCAAATTGGTGGCCGTCGCACGTTTAATGCCAAACATAAAAGTCCCAAGCACCTATAAAAGAAAACTACTCTACGATGTGGTACAGTCGACCATAATGTATGGGGCACCAGTGTGACATGAAGCTCTCCAAATAAAAAAGTACCTGCTTGGAGGAGTGCAGAGAAAAGCGCTGCTGAGCGTAACAAGTGGATACCGCACGATTTCTAGTGCAGCCATACAGATCATAACGGGGACTTCCCCCATTGACTTACTAGTGGAAGAAAGGCGATATCTAACTGATACGCACGGAAAGGAAAGGGGCAACAGTGCGAGCAAGAGAAAGAATCCTAAGAAAATGGCAAGAAAAATGGAAAAATACAAGCCAAGCGCAATGGACCAGAAATCTGAACCCAAATATAGAGAAATGGATAAGCTGCAGTCATCGCAGACTATTGCATCACGCAAGTACTAACTGGACATGGCTGTTTTAAAAAATATACTGTCACGGCTGCATGACAGAAATTTTGAGTCCGTTTATAAGCCCGAAAAACAAAACAAGATCTGAAATATCATACATATCAAACCATAAAGCAGTGAGGACTAGGTATCTGAGTAAGGTATTTTATATCGTGACAGACTTCAATAAACTTCTTACTAAAGTAGACACTTTTTTTGGTCCGGTGGACAAAGTCTATAGTACCTTAGCGGTACCATGAGTGGAAGAAATTAAGCGTCGATTAACCCTCCGTTTCAACACGCTAAGGCTACATCGTTCAGGAAATGAAGTAGCAGGCAGGAAGTTCCAGAGGTGGGTAGTACGCCACCAAAAACAAAACCTTTATTTGGAAGTCCTCGGGGCAGACAACTTTACCACATTCGGTGTAACATTTGAAATGTCACAATGGTACATTAAAATACAAGTTTCATAAGACGTCATTTTATGGCACGAGCCCTATATTAGAAAACGAGCCAGAGGCGAGTTTTCTAAAGGGCGAGTGCGATAAAATGTCTTATGAAACGAATATTTTATTTATTTTTTTTCTATTTTGGTATTGTTTAATTTAAAAAAAACAAATTTTTCTTGGAAATTTTATTCTCATATTTCCTGATTTCATATGTTAAGGTTGGTAACACTGCATGCCAAATATAGAAATCTTCTATTATAAAATCGCGAATGACAGTTCGATGGCTATCAGTCAGCCAGTGTAACCAACCTCCGATAAGTAAAAAAGGAGTGTCATAAAGAGCTTCTTTTCGAAACTACTTTTAGTGTCGAAATGACTTCGATATGACACCAAAATAGAAAAATAGTACATTAAAATACAAGTTTCATAAGACGTCATTTTATCGCACGAGCCCTATATTAGAAAACGAGCCGGAGGCGAGTTTTCTAAAGGGCGAGTGCGATAAAATGTCTTATGAAACGAATATTTTATACTATTTTTTCTATTTTGGTATTGTTTAATTTAAAAAAAAAACTTTTCTTGGAAATTTTATTCTCATATTTCCTGATTTCATATGTTTAGGTTGGCAACACTACATGCCAAATATAGAAATCTTCTATTTTTTTTATCGCGAATGACAGTTCGATGGCCATCAGTCAGCCAGTGTTACCAACCTCCGATAAGTAAAAAAGGAGTGTCACAAAGAGCTTCTTTTCGAAACTACTTTTAGTGTCGAAAAGACTTCGATATGACACCAATATAGAAAAAATATATTTATTGTTCTTAATAGATTTTGGACTCATTTAAAAGTACTATTTCGTACACCTAGCGACATCTATGATTCTTCTGACTAGTTTTCCTAACCTAATACCGAAAATTCTGTTATGGTTATTTCCGAGAAACCTGTAGCGCTGTCATTTTTATAATTTCGACAGGCTTGACAGACCAAGAAAGAAAGGACAGAACCAATTTGGGTACTTTTGAGTTGGCGTTTCTCTTATGTCTTGGGAACGAAAAGGTCGTCCAAATTTTTAATCTTGAAAATCCTAAAATTTTGTCTTTATTTTTAGCCCATAGCTTTGTAAATTGACTAGCCAGAAGAGTGATTATTCGTGTCTGCTAGAAAGTTTCTTGGAAAATCAACCGATTGTTGATTTTTGTGAAGATTTTGGAAAGTGAGGTTACTATCGGCCGTACAGGTATGTAAATCCCTTTTTCTCTCTGATGAATGAGTCCTTATATTTCCTCAATTCATTTAGGCACTTTGGAAAGGACGAAAAATCCGTGACTGCACTTATCCAGGTGAAAGTCGACAAATTTGAGACCATGCTGTTCTGCATCTCAGAGTAAATCTGGGCCCCCTTTTTCAAGGAATGTTGGTGTCCTGTAAGAAGTTGATCCCCAACTATTATTTGGTTGTCTGCAGCCAGTTTGGTACCTTCAGATCTCAAGTTTGTGAGAACTTCCGAGTCTTTACAAGAATTCCGTTCAGGCTTGTATAATTATTCACCTATGGGCCTCTTAAATGTACCATATTAATAACCGTAACTTTCCTTTTCTCCTATCGATTAGCTTCATTAGCTAATTAATATCTTTGTAAATATCAATTACCGTTACTAATTATTACCTTTTTTCTATTGCTCCCTATCGTTTAGCTCCATTAGCTAATTAATATCTTTGTAAAATCAATTACCGCCTCGTTTACCGTATAGTAGTATTTGGCTAGAATAGCTAACTACAGTTTAAATATAATTATTAATTTAATTAATTAATCATTATCATAATCAGATATTTACCTTTATTATAATTTTCTTCATCATTATCTAGTATCTAATAATTATGTATCATTATTGTGATTGTTACGGTCCGTTTATGCTTCAAATTAAAAAAATTAAAATGATCCATAATTTCATTATACGAAACCAGAACAATAAAAACTGGTCATTTTCGATTACAAAATTGAGGGAAATTAATAATGATATTGAGATTTATAATTTAAAATTGTCAGCAGTGTAAATATTTGATAGATCCCAATAAAAGTTATAATTCTAACTTTTACCATAGAACTTTTGCTTAAGCAAAGAGAACAAGAATTCAAAGAATGCAGAAAGAAACGAGTTTGCAATTTTTTTTGTGTTTTCTCAGCGTAGATATATTGGTTCCTGTATGGGCCATTCATTACATTAAAGGTCGTCTAAGACTGCGTAGGCTGCTATAATATTTTGACCCTGGCACTTTTTGCCGATTTAATTATTGGAAAAGTCCTTTTCGTTTCCCATCTTGAGGTGAATATTGTTAGTTCACTCGTTCGTGCTAAGTGCTGATTTGATTTCGGGAAAATCAGAAAATTTTAGGACTTTTCCAAGATTTTTCTACAACAAAACACATGGTTTCTCCTTAAGGCCACACAAAAACTTCCGGTAAGTCTTCTTTTGAAACTTTAATTTGCAAATTATCATTGTTTTTGGCTAATTTTCACGATAAACAAAATACCTCTTTCCAAAGACCTAATTTTCTTTTGGGCCTTTTTCTTCCACCTTTTCCTGCTTATTGTGCAAGGATTTTGCCGTCTTTCTCTGCTACATAACGGCAAATTGAACCAACGACACCATTTGGAGAGCTCCGAGGTTTCCCTGGAGACTTTGGGCTAACGCCTTCTTAGCGAATACTTTCCTTCTCTACCCTCGGAAGCCCATTAAGAACATGAGATCGATCTGACAGGAAAGCCTCTATCGTGTGCAGCTTCGTTGGACTCCGTTACTCTCCTATAAGGTCAAATTGTTTCATACCCTCTTATTTTTTTTGTTGATGCCCCAAATTCCAACCAATCGACATTTTGGTGACTTATACAAATGCTATTTTACTTATTTTATTAAACTGAACTAATTAATCGTCAAAGTTATACCCTTTCAAGACATATTTTATCACCATATTTTAGTAAATTAAACGCTTGTAAACCCCCTATATGCATATATGCGGTACCTGTTGGTCAAACCAACCCTTTGATGATGTGTAAAATAGTCGCATATACTGATTATTATGTTTTGGTTTTAAGTTTGCCACTGTTAACTTTGACTTTTATGTTCCCTCTTTAATGTTTACCCTTAAATCTGCCTTATTGACTTTGAAAGGTTGGCGTTTGTTTTCTCATTTATTAGGGACTTCTTGAGGTTCTTTCCCTTTTTTATATTTATATCACAGCTACCCGACTGTAGGGGAAAAACGGGTCGCGCTATTAATTTTATAGTCTTTCATTCACGACCACTCTCCGTTACTGAGCCGGCAAGGAGGGCACTTATACCCCTAACAAGTAATGCTGTTCGAACCGTTCTGTCTTTAGATGAAAAGCATCATTTATTTTTCTCAGGCCTAACTTTCGACTTTTAAGAGGAAACCATCTATTTTATTGTTATTTTCCCACCCCCAAAAACAGAACCCTCTTACATGATTATTATAAATTTATTTCCTTTATATCGAGTACTGATCGATATAATATATTGTGGATTCATTAACCTTTAAAAGGTTAATTTAACTTTTAATTTCAAATTAATAAGGAGCTAGTTCTTCAAGGTAAACCAATGTAAAATCTTTAGGTAAAGTCCAACAAATACCATTTTAAAGTCACGTGATTTTTCTCTATCCTTGTTGAATACATCTTAAACAGCGGTGATAGTAAAATTGGAAAAAAAAATTGGTGTCTAATTATTGTTCATAATATTCTTACCTGAAATAGAATCCGTCACTGTCATCAATTAGTTTGTCAAAGTTATTTTCGAAAATAATACACAGAACAAACACAGCTAATAATTTTGACTATATTAACCTTTTTCCAACTCGAAAAGAAGAAAATAGAAAACGAGTACCCAATTCAAGCTCAGAATGTATAACAACGGACAGCAGGTGCGACAAAAGTGAGTATCGCAACAATTGCAAGTATTAAAATTCCCATTTGATTGGTCAATACTACTTCAAAAACGCATTTGTGAAATGCTAAAGGGAACATCCTAAAATTCAATA